GCCTGGACTTCAGACACATGCTGCGGACGCACCCATAGCCTGATTCGCAGTAGGTGAGCGCAGCTGCTAGAGCCAGAGGCTTTTCTTGAGCAACAGCAGTCAATTATATCAACTTAACGTGTGGTTTTGTAACAAACCCAATGTGTTATGCTGTTGGCTGAAGTTTCTTATGTTTTGTCATCTCTCAGGAAATTGCTAAAAAAAGTACTGTTGGTCCGTTACTTTGTTTAATGTGCTGAGTACACCTTTCTTTCCTTTAGTGCAAGAAGGGTATTTTTTCTTGCAGGGAAACAAAAGTAAAAACACTAAGAAAGAAAAAACATTTTTCCCTCAAGAAGAGAAAGTAACAGTTTGTGTCTCTTTATGGAGTGAACCTGACTGACTGGTCCTGGAGGAAAGCTTGTGGAGTGAGACTTTAAGGGGAGATTTCCTTGAAATTTTATGTAATGATGCCTTTTGAGCAACTATTGCAGTGTGTTCCACCTGAGGATCTGCTCTCTTGAATGTCCTCTAAATTGTTCCAAATGTCTAGTCCATAAACCAGCATGTTAAAATAAATTTCCTTAACTCAAAATTAATTGATTTACTTCCATTTTTTTTGCTAAAAATTTGATAACCTGGAAGAGAGATGGCTGAGGGGAGATGTGGTAGATAAACTTCTCACTGGAGTGAAGGTGGTGAATCAGCAACAGTTGTTTGCTGTTTTTCAGGGCAAGATTGCAGCAGTCAAATGACACTAAAAGATGGAAGATGCAAAACATGCAGAAGAAGGTGTTCTTTTACACAGTACCCGGGCCAGCTGTAGAATGCTTTGCCCGGCAGTCTTTTGGATATCAGAAAATGTACATGGGTTCAAAAGCAACTGGACAAATTCTTGGAGGAAAAATACACTGGTTACTCCAGTATAAAAAGATGTAGCCCCATGCAGTGGCTTTATAAACTTCTGAGCCATAAGTGAATGGAGGCTGAAAGAATATGTGGAGAAAATGTTGGAATGTACTTGCCTTGTTTCTGTTCTTTCTCCTCTTCCCAAGCATCTACTTTTGGGTACTCTGGGACAACATCCTGGGCTGGATGGGCCCTATATGTGGGATCTAATGTGCCTCTTCTCTCATACAGGTAGCTTTTCCAAGACAGTTATTGAAAGGGAAGTGAAATGCCACTGCATTTGTGCATCTATGACTTTTGGTCTTATCTACCTGAGACTGGTGAGTTTTAGTTGAGCTTTTGTGCATTTCTGTACATGCTGTCTACCTGTAAAGGCATTTAAAGATCATTAACAATGCTGTCTAATGCTTTTTTGATGCATGAGTCATAAAATGGGCAATTATGAAGGACTGCAACTTTTTGAAAAGCAGTGATGTAAGGGAAACCTGGCTATGTTTTGCATTGCTGAGGTTGACACAGTGCTTGTTATGCTGGGATTATAGTGGGGATGCAGGAAAGGGGACTGGACACTGAAATCCACTTGAATTATGATTCCCTGAACTTTCTGGATGACGGCCTTTATTTCTCATGCTATTTGTTGGCTTAATATGAGCAAATTATGCTAGTTAGCCACCAGTCTGTCTGTTATTATTGGCTTAGACTGGATCTCTGAAATTCTTTAGAAGTAGTCCAGGTGACCTAGGAAGAGTTAAGCAAAGATAAATTTCAAAAAGTACAAAAGGTCAAGCCAGATGCCATCATTAGGTATAAAGAAACTGCTAAGTGCTAATGTATAGGATTCGGAGAGGCCAACAAGATGTTGAAACTTTTGTTGAAAACAAACATGCAAGTCCGGAGGTTGTTGGTCACACAGATCTTGTCTGTCTGTCAGCTCATTAGCCTGGCCAGCTGTGGTTGAGGGAGTAATTGGGTCCACAACAAACAGTATAATTTCAAGAAAAGTACTTATGAGAATGGTTCTTCCTTGTGGTAGTTGTACGTCAGTTAACAGAACAGAATTTTCAGACTTCAGCTGAAAGATTTCAGGAAAGGTAGACACAGGCAAAACAGAGATTTTAGAAGCGTCTTAGCTGTTGCTCAAAGCTAGGAGTTGAACATTGGAGAGGTACTGACATAACTGCTAGGCCCTTATTCTTGGTAGTTACTGTGTACATACACAACAAACAATGCAACTTCAGGTAGAAAGATGGCAAAGAATAGGGGCTGTCTTGATGCATGATCTCCAGGCCATCTGATGGAATACGTTTGGTCTGGTCTACATGATGGTGCTAAAAGGACTTTAGCAGGAGTTTATGATGTCTGCCTAGCTGTTACAGCTACAGAAAGGCATGAGAAGTCACACAGTGACTATTTAGTATTTGAGGTTTCCCAGGAAGTATCAATAGGATAGGAAATAAGAGATGCAGCAGATGAGTCAAAAAAACTCGTTTCTGGAAAATAAACTGTGGGGCACCATATCCGGCAAGGGAGACAAGTTTTGTATAACTCTGTCAACAAGTCAAGGCTCATCAGGTCTCTTGCTGAAAAATTAAAAAAGTAACAGCAGTTCACGTGGATTTGCAACGTGACAAAATGCTGTGTGCGGGTCTCTACTTCAAGTATTAGAAGGACAACTGTGAATCAATTGGAGTTCTCAAATCACATCATACAAAGACAGATACTTTAAATAAAGTGGTCATTCCATGCCCCAGATGATGGAGTACGAATCAGCCCTAATCACTGTTGAAGACATGGATGTCCTTGTGCTCCATCTTATTGTTTAGCAGTGGTATGGCTTGCCTAATATGTCAGGAAGTTAGCCCGCAGGCCTGGGCAGGATTCACTGACATTATTAAAGGACCTTTTCCTTTTGGGCTGATGTATGCAGAACATGAGTGATCTGCATGCCTTTTTGTGATGCAGCATTGTTTGATGGAGGTCTTGTTGTATGTTTATTTTTCAGGCAAGGAAAAGTTGGCAGCCCGAATCTCGTGCAAAAGTAGCACAGTTATCTGAAGACCTTTTCTGATTTTGCACATGCTGGAAGCTTTTATCTGGTAGGATGTTCCTGTAATCTTTGTAATTTCCACGTTCCTAAATTTTTATCAACTAATAGCATTGATACAATTGTCAGCTGTTTCTTCCCCCATGACACCACAGAGGTGTCAAGTTGACCCCAGTCAGCTACTGTCATGCAGCAGTGTGTTTGATGTGTATAGGGAGTACTGAAGGTTAAGCAGGAATTCAGACACTATTCCTGCCCTATGAATTCACTGCACTAGATCCATCAAGCAGCTATGTCAGGACTGCTGGTTCCCAAGAGAATTTGAATATTAGAGGATGTGTGGATCTGCAGTACCCAAAACTCTCTTTGGAGGTTATGAGAGTCAGCTATGTTTATTCCTGCCAAATGGGAGAATGGTGCACAAATAATAAGCTCCGTAGTACAGAGATGTGCAGTTTATAAATCCATATGAACTGAAAGGATGATAATGAGCACGAGGCTGGTATGCAAAATACTTTGGTTGAATTCTGGATGGAGAGGAGGAGAATTCTTTTGGTGTTTGAAACAGATAACTTATAAGCATCTAAAAGTAAACCTACTGTGCTCTCCTCAAGGGAAAATACTGTGATATTTGTTTGTGGTACATACGGATGGTATAATTTATAGTTCCTCAAATTTCTTTATAACCATTAAACACATGAAGTGTAGTTGTACAACAAAAATATGTTTGTCACCATATATGAGACATCATGTACCATATAAGGTGCTCATATATGCATGATCTTGCAATGCAGATCATCCTATCTAAACTGAAGTTTCAAAAAGTATCGTCAGGACTATACATGAAATAACAGTAGCTGAAATTTCTGGTCTGGCCTCAGTAACAAAGCTATTTCATCCTGTGGAATGAGAAAGGCCTTTGAGATGTGAAGGAGAAGGATCCATGAGGCTGAAACCAGCCGACTCAGGAAATGAACTCTCACCCTTGGCTTTGTGGCTCATTCAAGATCATAGGTAGCATGTTCTTACTGAATCCATGTCGCTGGGATTTTTGGCTACCAACACACTGTGTGAATGAAGGCTCCAGCGAGTGCAGAGAGGGCCCTTGGCCTCCGCTAGAACAGGTCCATTTCATCTGTAACTGGCACAGTGTGGATCTAGCTGAGCTTGCTAGGTTGGGCCCTGTGTGTCACCTTGTTTTTGTTGGTATGTCTCAGGATGGAAGCTCATCTTAGCAGCTTTGTAGATCCAGTGTACTTTACACTTCCCCAGCTGGCTTGTGAAAATACTGTGTGAGTATTGATTTCAGTAAGGCTTTTGACACAAACTCATCACATCTGGTGCTTTTTTGTTTCTCCACAAGTTCTGTTACCCTATTGTAGAAGAAAACTAGGATGCTTTGACATGATTTATTCTTTTTATGTCTTTTTTCCATCTTTTTGGTCCTTAGAAATACTATGTGAGTAAGCAGAATAAAGATATATGCTTATTTTACAGATAATGGCTTCTGTGGCTTATCATATAAATCTTCCATAGTCACTACTTTTCAGCTAACATTTTATACTTATTTTTTCTATCTTTGCAGGCAATAATGTTGTACCTGCTACTCATGTACATACGGCTTCGTACTCACTTGAAACATAGATAAACCTGAGTTCCGTTGGTACCAGCAGGATGGAGCAGGCGATCAGACTTTATTTAACCACTGAGTTGGTTGTCCTTGTGTGGTGGTTCTTGGACAAAACATCCTAAAGAACTTTGCAAAGGAAAGATAGTGCAGCCAAGTCCAGGAGGTGGGTCTGAAACTCTATTTTAAATGATGTTACTGATATGACAACTGTAACTTGAGTTGTGAAGACTTTGACTTGGGAGGAATTGACTTAAAGTATATGATTTACAGCTAGGGTTCACAGAAGAGCTTCTGTAAGGAGTCTGGTAGAGATGGGAAGTGATTACCAAAGAATTGTTTGGAGAAATGAAGAAATGCATTCAGTTGTTAATTGCAGCTTTTCTAGAGCACTGTGCAGTTTTTCATGCCTCCCTTTCTAGCAGGAAACTTCCACCCTCTCACACTAATCCTCCTTGCCAATGTACACAAGTTCTGGCCCTTTGGGCTTGATTTTTATGTTATGCAGTGATTTGGGGGTAAAGGTTAACCCTCACTCCACCATGTTTTTTTTTTTAATACTTTCACATGAGTTGGATAGAAGCACTAAAACTCTAGATTGTCCAAATTAGCAGAGAGTAAACGATATGTACCTGTTTTCTTTTGTTGTTCTGTTTTTTCAATCTTGACTCCTATCTTTACGGAATATTGAAGTCCTTAGAAAGTGTAGATACTCCCATCTCTTAAGGTCAGATCTAGAAAACTGAAATACTCAACTTATAAACCATCAGAGAATTTCTATGACTGACTATCCATAGGCTATCTAAACAGTTCTTTGCTTTAACGGGGATGCAAATCCTCCAGCTGGCAGGATAGAATAGTCCGAGACATACCAAGGGATTTGCCTAGGGACTTTTTTAGGCCTGCACCAGAGCAGCAAAAGTTTTTGCAAAGAACTTCTGATTAGGGGATGCAGAAGACCCAGGTTCATATCTCTCACGTATTGCTGTCTTCTTGCATGACCCAGTGCAGGGAAATACAAGTCAGAAAATTGGGTGGAAAAAGAGACAAGCTTGATAGAATCAACTTATCTGGATTTAATGCCAATAAAAAGTACACCTACAGAAGCTCTGAGATAAATTTGCAATGAAAATAACCAGCTAGCAGCATTATATACTAATACATGAATAAATTAACTTTCCCAGCTAGCAGCATGAAATAATCAACTAGAGATGAGAATTTTCCTCAGCCAGACAGTTTACCAAGAAAAAAATGCTTAGCGAAGCACATCACTACTTTTTTCCTTTCCCAGCTTCCTGGGAACATTGTCTCTTCTACCTCCCCCCGAGACCTATCTACTGATTTGATTTGTATGGAGTAGAGGGAAAAACAGGAGGAACTAACGGCTTCTTTCTGTAAGGCTGTTAATGCAAGAAACCAAATTTGCATTGTTGTGGAGAGCAGGAGTGTATTAAGCAAACAGAGATCTTTTATCAGGGAGGGAAGAGAGGAGGTCTTTTCCCAAAGAGTTTTTGCCTAGAGGACAGAGAAGTGGTCCTGTTGTTCCTGCTATTAGATGGTAATGCTGTTGGTTGTACTGAAATAGACTAAATCCTGGTTTTCAAAGAATGGTGTAGACACTGTTTTCTCTTCAGAGACCTTTGAGGGATGGAGGAGGAGCGTGTCAGACAAAGCACCGTTTTTGCTGCTCTGTTTGCATTTTGTTTTAATGCTGCCTACATGAAAGCACCTATCCTTGTTGATCCCTCTCTCCATTCTCCTCTTTCACCATTTCCCAACTTCCATTCTGATGCTCTTACTTTTCTCAGCCTCTGTTCCCTTTTCTTTACAAAAATGACAAATAAGGAGCCTGGTTCCTGCAGTGCATCTACAGAAGCGCTTTTGCATGGGGGGGAAAACAATATAATGGATGGACATACTCCAGTTCTCCTACATCTGCTGTGTCTGTTTCCTTTCACAGACTTGCGTTCAGACCTTACCATTTCATTTAACTTTTGCTGTGTGGCAAGCACAAAATCAGGTTGCCTTGTGTTAGTATTCTGAGTGAGTGCTATGTATTTCAAACACGCTAGGGAAGAGAGTATTGCCTACTTACTGTTTGAATTTTCCAAGAATCCCTATTTTAGGAGCAGCCAATATGCCTTGCAACTCCATGCTCTGGTATAACCACTGCTAAGCTGACCTGACATTGGCTATGTGGATGAAGAGCTGGTTCCTTCCAGCTGTCCAGCTGGCATGGCATCAAAAAGCATTTGAAACTGTTGAGAGCCACAGGCCTCTCAGATGGGTATCACCAAAGTGCAAAAGTATAAATTGCAGTATAAATTAGGTGGGGATACACTTTAAAGGAGTTTGTGTCTTTTGTTTTCCTGTATCTCCACATAGTAGGAACTTGAAGTCTGAATTGTCTTTACTCAGAGGAGAAGTAGAATATTCTTCAGGAAGGACTGGCAGAGGGTAGAGTAAGAGGGCCAGTAGACAGTAACTGATACATATTTTATGTTCCTCAGGAAAATTATAATACATTGATTGTTGTAGGCAGACACATTATGAACTTCCTTAGATAGCTCTGCCTGTGCACTCTGCTGCTGACTCCGTTGCTTTCAGTGCTGTGCCTGGACCTCCTTCCCTTTTCCCTGGGCTCTACATTGCCAGCGTGTACATTGCCAGAGAAGCCTGCAGTGACAGCAGACAAAAAAAACACCCTCTGAAGCAGGATCTTCTGCCACACTTCTGCCGGTGGGGAGGCTTCCTGTGCATCTCAGCTGCATCGACTCTGGGCTTCCCGCAAGGGACATGACAGCTCCTGCCCTGTTCCCTGCTGGGAACATCCCGAGGGCTTGCGGCCTGTATAGATCCACGTGGCAGTTTCTAACTTTAATGGCTGAAGCACTTGCATTTAGTACCGCACAAGCTATAACAGAAAAGGTGTAATGAAGAAATGGAATAAAGTGCTGGGGAACTGCAAAATTCCGTATAATCTCAAATAACTTGTGGTAGATGAGCTCGTAATAAAGCAGGCTAATTTAAACAAAGAGAAATTGGAAACGCATCCACAGTGCGTAGGAAAGGTTGGAAGAAGAGTGCACAAGTAACTTTTGTGCAATTACATGTTTGCCTTTTCAGACTGGTTAAACTAAACTTTTAATCAGGTAGTTTTTAGGCCTTAAAATTACACATGGTCTTGATCAAACTTAGTTTCTGAACTCTCACTGTTTTTCTTGGTTGTCTTTGGTCTGCAGGAATTTTTGCTAGATGAGGAGAAGGGGAAAAGAGTGGAAGTTAAAATGGTAGTATCCAAAGGTCTTTGACTTTGGGGCTAAAGAAAAGTACCTTGAACGATGTGGCTGTTACTTTAAAGGAATAGCTATTTGGAAACTGGTTAATGCCCAAGCAGGCTGTTTCCAATAGCCATGCATGAGTCATTTGCCAAATAGGAAGAGAGGCTTCTGAAGGGGCTGGGGCTGATTCTCCAGTGATGGAGGGGTCTGGTATCTTTTTGCAGCGAGAAAGGCAATCAGTTTTCATGGTCTTCTGATTTGTACTGCTGATACAGGAATACAAGAGGTGACTGATCGCGTGGGTTGCAGGTAAGAGTTAGCCTGCAGGACAAGAGGAAGGTGAAAGTCAGTAATTTGTTGCTACTGCAGAGTGAAGGGAGCTGCAAACTCCCTGTATACAAAAAAAATGTTGGCATTGCTGAGTTATAAAAACTGGGATTTGTTGTTATTCTGTGTACATGCAGTTTATGGAAACAGCAGAAATAATGGTGTGAGGAGCAGCAATAAAATGTTAGGCTCTCTCAGGGACTTAAGTCCTCCATATGTAAATCATTAGGATCTTAGTAAAGTGAAAACATGCCTTCAAACAGAGATGCAGCACAAGCCCATGGCCTGTGAGTTTCTCTCCTCTGCCAGAGGAAATCTGTCCATTTCTATAGGCTGTTTAAATTCCTATTTAACTCTTTCTAGTAAGTCAGTCTCGAAGAGAGATAGAAAAGCTGTGGGTCATCAGTTAGAGCAGGAGGACACTGGCAGCCTCGGTTCTCCAGAAGTCCCAGACTCTTGCCAACCTGAGCAGTTTCCAGGCTGGCCTTTCTCTGTAGCTCTTGAACATAGCTCTTGAGCTGCTCGGTGGCTTTAGCCAGTCTGTTTAGATCAGAATGTGATAAGAATCATATAGTATGCAGTTGAAACTGCAAGAGAGCTTTTTAGGCAGACAGATCATCACTTCTTCCTAGACTTTGTCTGGAGACCAGGATTACCACTACTACTTCTTACCGATTTTTGATATAAGAGAATGATTTAGCATTTTTTCAGCCAGTTTTTTTTTATTATGAAAAATCCAAATGAAGAAATAATCCTTGCTCTTATCCAGCATAGTTTTGCCAATAATCTATGCTGAAACAAAAAAGCTAAACCACAAAACAAGTCAAAATATGGACTTTTGCTATTTCTGATATATTTTGAAATTTTTCCTGTCCAGAATTGGATTTCTTTAGAACTTGTTTCAGTTTTGTTTAAATTAAATATTGTAAAATAGAAAATGTTTCTCTCAAGTTCAAAAGAAATGTATTGACTTGAGGCAAAACGGTTGGGTTTTTTTGGAAGTGCCAGTGAAATGAAAGACAGTTATTCACATAGCTTACAGAGTGCAAGTCATAGCTGAGATATTCAGGATCCTCAGATTGCATCTGATGTTGCCAGCGCACCTGACCTTTTCAGGGATAGCCATCTAAATCTCCATATCATGAAAGGTATACTAGAGCCTTGCTATCAGTCAGAACAATTGTAATTAATGTCTGTGGTTTGTGAGTGAAAGCTTTTAGCTGGACCACTCCCCGTCCACCACTTTGCTCTTCCGCCAGAAGCCTGAGTGCCTACAGATGGAATTTGCTCCTCTTCCTATTTCATTCATTTCTGTACAGTGATTGAATCTTGAGCAGTTGCGTGGCTTTATGAGTAAAGAAACCTTTGATACAGCAATCTTTGCAGCCAGGGGCAGAACATACTCTTTAATAAAAGAGGTTAAGAAGCTGCAGTCTGTAGCTGGTGGATGGATACTTTGCCTTCATCGATGTTCTCTGAATGTAAGCAGCAGTTGTGAAGGGAGAGCCCCTTTTCAGAGTTGTTTTTTGACTTGGATTATGGTGCTGGCAGCATGGGA